CAGAAATTCAAGTTGTATTTAACTATATGTTTTCACAACCTTCACTATTATAAATATCTATATAGGCAGCACTTTGTCAGTGCATGCACATTTTTCATCCTCTAAAACTGGACCAGATTAAAGCATAATCTATACTGCATCTTTCAAGATCGTAAAAAATTATAAGAGTTATATCTCCACAGACGTTTTCCTGCTCCTAATTCAGCTGAAAACTAGAACTAATGGTCAAGGTAGATATAGCCACAGATAGAAGGAGCAAGCGTTTCTGGGTGACCTATAAATTGCTGGGCTATGGTATGGAAAGGAGGGTAAAGTCTCACTAGTAGTGTCAAAAATTGAATTTCTTCTTTAACAAACAAAGCAACTGGATTTTCAAAAACATTTGAATTTTAGCACATAAGGGTAGAAACCTCTTTGAACAACTTTGGTGAATTGTATTCCTTCATCTGACTTGTGCTTACTTTTCCATGTGTGGGTGGAATTTATTAATCACAATTTTATATTGAATGAGATAAAATCAAGATCTGTTTTTTAAAAAATATTTTTAAATTCCTTGTCAACTGTGACATGTATACATTTTCTCTAATAAAGTCATACTGTACTGTTTCAATGTTCAATGTTCCCTCTCCCCTCCTTCATATGGATTGTTACCTTAAGTTCTTGGAAGTATAGCCTGTGGAATGTGGATATTTCATATAGATTTCTCAGAATGTGCACACTGATTGAGCAGCATCAGCAGTATCCAGGGACTGGATAAAAATGCAAATCTGGGCACCATCTCAGACTTGGTGGATTGGAAATGCTGAAGGTTAAGTCCTACAATCTGTGTTTTAACCAGCCCTTCTGTGCAACTTTAAAGCATGCTAAAATTGAGAAGCACTGGTCTATGGCTTTGCAGGATACTCCAGTGGTGAATTCTTTTCCCTGCAGATAATATCTTTGTTCAATCTCAGGACTATGCACACTGTGGAAGAAGAAAATGGCTAATCATTCCCCTGATGTTCTGGGTAAGTCACCTGAACTAGATTATTTATATACATTGGTCAGTGTGGACCCTTAGACTTACTTTCAGTTATAGAAAAGAAACCCCCACCTCTATTTTATTTTATGGTGTGGCTAACCTCCCCTTCCTTTTGTTTTCTGTCTGTAGACTTAATTTCAACTACAGTGATTCCTTGGTTGTTGAATGGGTCCAAGCTCAAACTTCCCACTACTTAAACAGGCAAGTTCAAAAAATCTGCTTGGTGTGCCTGTCTTTGCTTGGTGATTGAACCAAAAATCTGTCTGACTTGAACACACCTGAAAGCCCAAGAGTTGGTCATGGGTCGTGTCTGGCTGCAGATCCAAAGAAGTATTTTAGGGGACACTTCCACAACCTAGAACTGTCAGGTGGGCCTCAGCACCAGTTATTTGGTTTTCCATTACTTCGATTGTGGGAAAAATACCTTCAGTTCCCAAAATTTTTGGTGTTCAAACACAAATTTGGAGCGAATTGAGTTTGACTCCTGTGGCATCCCGGTACTTATTACCATATGGAAATAAGGGTGCTATCTTGAAAGAACCCAGTTTGGAGGATGTGGAGTGCTAGATACTGCTGCACATATTTGGTATTAGTGGAACGGCACAATAGTTCTTCCCATTAACTATCATTATCTTTTGTGGTTTTTAATGCAGCATAACTTACAAAGCATAGAAGTGACATATAAGCCATGTGAGGTAATTCTAGCTACTTGCAGTACTCAGCTGGGAAGATTCAAGTTCCAGGCCAGCCTGGACAACTTAGTGAGGCACTGGTGCAAATTTAAAAAATTTAAAATGGATTGGGGGTATCAGGCAGTAGTAAAATGTCCCTACGTTTGCTCTCTAGGGCTGCAAAAAAGATATATATTTTAAATATACCATTCTATACATTTTAGCAAAGTAATACAGTTGTGCAGCCATCACCAACATGCATTTTTTCCACATTTTCATTGTATTAAAACATCCCTCATGATCAACTCCAAACAGCCCTTACTTGCACTTCCAACTCGGATATAACGCTCTGTTTTAGCTGTTCAGGATGCTACGTGCAAAAGAAGTGATTCAGTGATTCAGTATGTGAGCTCCTGTGTCTGCCTTACTTACATAATATTTTTGAGATTCATCCACATAGTTTACACCAGCCTTTTGTTCTCTTCTAATGAATAATTTTTTCTCATCATCCGCTTATGGATATTTGGGATGTTTTCAGTTTTGAATGTTTCTAAATGATATAATTTCATTCACATAGAATTTTATATGAGGATTAATACTGTTTTTTCCTAGGGGTTAGTGGAACCCTTAATATTTACGATGCTTATGTTTACCTTTTTAAGAAACTTCCAAACTGATTTGAAAGGTAGTTTCACCATTTTGCTTTCTTGTTAGCAATGTGTGTGTGCATGGCTTCCAATTTCTCCACATTCTTAATTCATGTGATGTCCTATATTTGATTATAACCTTTCTGTGGGTTAATTTGCTATATCATTGTAGCTTAAATTGGATTTTTTTGCTAAAAACTAATGATTTTAAACATTATTTAATGATTTTTGACCATTTTTAGATATCCAAGTATTAGGACTATTTTAAAATGAGTTGTCATTTATCATGTGTAATTCTGTGACTTCTTGATATATTCTAATATGCATGTCCATTATTTGATATAATTTCCATAAACATTTTCTCCTAGATTGTGAATATGAGTTTTTAATTTCTCTTCATTGTTTTAATGTTGTCTTTTAAAGCATAAGAGTTTTTAATTTTGATGAATGCTCATTATCATGACCATTCTTTCACTGATCTTTATTTGGGGTATTCCAGAGCTGTTGGCTTAACCCCAAATCATCAAGGTTTTTACCATATGATTTTCTTTAATATTTTACATTTTAACTGATGATTTAACTTATCTGTGCATGTGGTATGAGGCCAGTAATCTTCATTTTCTATTTTCCTTGTGCTTTTTTCTTTTTCTATTTTTGTTTTATTATTTCTTACAAGCTATATATTTTAGTGTGTCATTTTAATTCATTTGATATCTTACTTTTTATTTGGAATTTAATATTTTGTTCTATTAGTATAGTAACTTATTTTTAATTGGCAAAACATATATCTATATATCTCCTGTATAACATGTAGTTTTGAAGTACATATACATTCTAGAATAACAAAATGGAGCCTATTTTTATATGTATTGCCTTATATATTTGTCCTCTATGTAGTGATAGCACAAAATCTACTCTTAAAAATTTTCATGACTACCTTGTTATCAACTAGAGTCACCACGCTGTATACTAGATCTCTTAAATTATTCCTTTTATCTAATTTAAATTTTGTATTCACTTGGCCAACATGTCCCCAACCCCCAGTATTCACCTCTAAATGTCTACAAATTCAATATTTTTAGATTGTACATATGAATGAGATCATGTGGTATTTATTTTCCTATTTCTGGCTTCTTTTACTTATTTTTTCCAGGATCATATATTTTGTCATAAATAACATAATTTCATCTATTTATTTATTTGGTTTAAGGCTGTAATCCTAGCACATGGGAGACTGAAGCAAGAGGATTGCCATGAGGCCAGCCTGGGTTAGATAGTGAGTTTAAAGCCAGCCTGAACTACACTGTAAGACTTTGTCTCAAAAAAATATTTCACCATATCCAACAATTTTTATTCATGTATATCCTAATGTACATTGATTAATGTGTTCTTACCTTTGAATGAAAGGTCTGTCTCTGTCCTAACAATCACAGTCTTCAACAAAATCCCTGAAAAATGTCTAATCATCTTTCAAAACCTTGCTCAGCTAACATTTCCATATGACTTTTATCATACACTTGCCAAATATACATTCTCTGTACCTATACATTTATCAGAAATCATCAACATTATAGGGAGTATTATATTTATTTGCTGTAAAATTGTAAACTTCCCTAGAGTATATAATCATCTAAAAGAAATGAGATCATGAAATATTTATCTCATCCTCACCCTCTACCAGAAAATGCTAGTAGAATTTCATGTAATTAAACAAATCAACATTTAAAATTAACTTATTTAAATAAATTATGAGTATAATGTAATCAAATGAGATACTATCTCTTGTTGGCTATAAGAGCAGAACAGATTTTAGAAAACTCAAAGAAGTACTGGTACAGTGTGTTTCAAACAGATGGTTGGCAATAATGTCAAGCTCCTTTTTAATCTGATTCCTTTGATAATTATTTGGTGATCCTTGACATAGATTTGGTTTGATATGCAAGTAATCCTCATTTACTACATTCTTTTTTAGGATTACCCAGAAATCATTGAATATATAGGTTTAGCTTGATCACATGGGCAATTTTATTTGGATTGAATGATTCATTTTGTTAAAGGACTTAACACTGTTAACTCTTCTGATTCTGATCTTTATTTTAGAACGTTGCATGTCAAATAGGTTAAAATATCATTTACTTTGTTTTGGTGTGCACTGACAGAAAGATTTGCCACAGGAGATCTTGCCTGCAGAAACTGGATATAGTTTTATGTTTCTTATTGAAATGATGCTTCTCTTATATATCATTAGAGTATAAACATTTCGATCCAACTGAGTACAGAAATGGTGAGCAATTTAATACACAATCCTAGTTATAAACAATGCCAGGTAATGAATCTCCACCTTAACTACACATGGACACCTGGAGAGCTTTTAAAACTACAATGTTCAAGTTCCTCTCACAGAACAATTGAACCAGCGTCTCTGATTGGGTTTGAAAATTTTTGAAGTGCCGTTCACAATACCTAACACCAGGTGTTTAATAAGCTTCTGTTGTTTAAACATTTCTTTTAAAATTAAAGTTTAGGATCAAACTTTTAACATATCCTTAAAAATCTTCTGAGTGGCTTAGACTCTTGCTAGTACTCAGTAATTTCTCGTGCTCTGAAACTGGGAGAGATGTTAAAACAGACTTCTTGATAATGTGAAAAGACAGTCAGATATTCTTAGTATTGAATAACATTAGCTTTATTATTGTAATAGAATACAGAATGACATAAAATTAAGAGCTTTTGCTAAACTCTGTAAAGCAATACATGCATCTGCCATAAACAACCTTGACTCGTGTTAAGTTTTATTGCCACTTCACTGCACTAAAGTGCAATAAACATTCAGTGTCATCTTTTTTAAAAAATTCCTGGGAGTAAACAGGACCTGTCCTCTATAAGAGTGTACCTTTATTTTCAAGGAAGACTTAACTAGTATTACATGGTTTAGCAAAGCACTGTAGAAAAGCTACATAGATTAATTTGTCTTCAATAACTGTGCAATCAATTTATACAATAGAATATTACCCACATATACTAACAAACTAAGAAATGATAAGAATACAGTCCTTGCATAGCAGAAAGCAGACTAGTAAGAAATAGTCACATCTAATGAGCAAAATACAGACCAAAATTTGCCATGAGGAATCTGGAAGATAAAATGCTGTCAATAAACACATTAGATTAACGTCGAAAAACAACAAGGTAAACAAACAACAAAGAAGTTAGAGCCATAATTTATTTTATTTCTATACATGTATCTACACACGATACCAGCGGATGAAATGTCCTTGGTAGAGCCTTTATGAGCCTACCTGAGGAAATTTAGGGAGGACCAAATCAAACAATGAAGCACACTTAAAATGAAAACCGGAGTTGGTTTAGGAAAACACAGTGTATTTTCCTATATCATTGGATAGCAGCTTTTTAAGAAAAACATTGCTTAAGACTCAGTTATGTATCCCAACTGTCTTATTTGGCAATTATGTTAAAAGTTGATGTCATAGTACTGTAAATGTGTTTAGACCATGACATGTTGATTCTGAACACTAAGTTTAAATATTTGTGAAACTCTATCAGACAAAAGACTTCAAAAATACCTTCTTCATAAATATTTATCTCTAAAACATCTGGGCAATAATGAAACAGACTAGAATTTTATAGGGAGTATTAATGGACCTCTTTGATTGAAAGCCCTTACATAGATTACCTACAAATATATTGCTACATTATAAATGAAATGTAATAATATTACTCAATAAAAGCTATTTTCTGTACATTCTTTCATGTATTTTATATTGAATGCTACATATGGTACAGCACTTATTGAAATAGTTGGTATCAGCAAATATAGCAATATTATACAGTTGACTTGCTAGTTTCAACTAATGCTTCTCATTTTCTTGCTATATTACATTAGCCTAAAATATGAAAGTGTGGTACAGCAGGACTTGAGCAGATAGCAACTGATGTGCTACTGAACATCAGACAATTTAAAATTGTGGGCTTTCTGTATATAAGTGGACTTCGTATCCCTAAGTTTCAAGTTCCATCTGCTTCCTACAGGCTGTTCTGTTCTTAAATGCAGACTTGAAGTGTATTTCGGTAGCATTTAACAACATTCTAACAGCTAAGAGTGGTGATTCCTACACGATATTTTAAGAACATAACTTTAAAAAAAGTAAAAAATGTACAATCTCATGCTTAATATTTACATATATAATTTATATGTTCTATTTTTGTTTGCTAGTCGTAAATTTCAGTCTAAAGCTTTTAATGTAGTTATATAAAAGAATACATTCAGCAATTCTAAAGCTTGCAAAATATTTTTGCCCCTCTAAAACATCTTCATAATGAGAATCAAATGATTAGTTGACCAATGTGCCATCTGGAAATGGGGTAGAAAAGGGAATAATTTTTAAAATTATTTAATTAATTGATTGATTGATTTTTAGCTTCTATTGATGAACATCTCCGTTAAGATGATTGTTCATAAAATCTAGTGGTAAAAGCTTAGATGATAGCAAAGTAGCCTATTTAAAGCATTTCTCTCCATTGGATCAAATGTGCTCTGCAGTGAGCAACTGCATCTTTGCTTATGAAATTTCCATGAATTTTAAAATCATTTAACCACAAAGTAATGCTTTGGGAATTTTTTAAGAAGGAAAGAATAAGAATGGGAATGTTTTAGATTTGGAAGCAACATTAAAGCTATACAGTCAGTCTAAAAAACAAAGCAAAAACATAAACACACCATAGTCTGTGCAATAAAGACATAGATTTTTATAAATTTTCTTCATTAAACATTTATAATTTATTCTTTTAAACACTTTCACACAAAAATATTTTGACATATACAGTATCTTTTTTAGAGTATTTGGAAATATATATCTACAAATGACTAGGGGTTATATTAAACTCTATTTATCTTCTACATTTCCTCACATCTTTGGGTCTTCTTTTCCCTCCTTTCCTCCCTTGTCTGTCTGTCTGTCTCCTTCTGACATCATTCTGCTCTCTTGTTTCCTCTCTCAGAATCCTGTCTGCAAGCTGCATACTCTGCTGTGCTCTGGACTGCCAGACAGGGGTTTCTTCTTATATGGATTATGGAAATAAGGAAACCTTCAGATTCTTTAAGACAGAGGCTATAAAGAAGATGGGAATTACTGCGTTGAGAACAGCAAGCAACTCCCAGTGCAGAGGACTGAACAACAGAACGTGACTAAAAGAACCTATTGATGTGGTGTGGGGGCTTTTAGCTGAGGCTCTCTGTTTAAATACGTTGCCCAGTAGACTAAGTTAAAGATTCCAAATAGCAGAGGGAAGGCTATTCTTGACAGTCGGTCAATTTTGCTGACACTGTTAAAGGTTTTCTTGGGCTCTGGTGGTTTTGTTTCAGGCTTGACTTCTTTTGGTTCTATCGTTGCACTTTTAGCAATGGTGGCTAAACCGGGGTCACCCCTGGCCAAATTAGGGGTATAGCTGGTGGCTGTTGGAGCATAGGTGTTGTTTTTCTTAATGAGAGGATCTTTGACTTTCTTTGGCTGCAGAAGAAAATAGTAAAGCAATTTGTTTAGTAAGCTATGAGAAGCAAAATTATAAGATGCTGAGCAAAATGGCCCTTGCTTTGGAACCCAAGTGAGTGCTTCATTTCAAAAGCTGAGACGTGTGACTTATGACCATCTTATGGGGATAAATTAAAAATATAAACAATATCTTACACTCTTCATGATCAAAAGCTGGAGTCTAGTTCCTCACTAAAATATACACTAGAATGTGACTCTGGCAGAATGATAGTTTGTGGAAACATGCCCTTGCCAAGAGAAGAAGCCGGACAAGACTCCCAAATGGACTGAGCCCACTTATATAGAGAGGTCCCAGATATGGGAAAGAAGCCACCATGGGTCCTCCAGCTCCGGTTAACTGCAATCATGCGGGCAAGCCCAGGGCATGCCTGGTTGAAAGCTACCGACTGTTCCTAGCCCCTAATTCAGACTCATAGCAAATATTTGTTGTTTGAAGCCACTACGTTTCAAGGGGTCTGTTTTACTGCTTCTTCTTACATTTTAAATGGACAATTAATAAAGCAGGGTTACTCAGGGTTTCATGATTTCTACCCTCTTCAGTGTCAGCTACTCAGCAGCGTAGTCTGTGTAATGATTGACAACTACAGTTCTTCTGAGATTCTTTCATATACACAATTCAAAAAAATGATCTCATTTAGAGCTATGTGGGTCAAGACAGCTGCTGCTGACAGCATGTGAATACTGAGCGTGTGAAATGTGGCAGGTCTGATATGTGATGTATTATATGTAGCTAAAGTGTGCAAGAGATTTTAAAATCTTACTGTGAAGAAATACAATCTAATATTCTTCCTTAATAATGTTTTGCATGAGCGACATATTATAAGGTGAATGTTTTCATGCATTGGCAAAATATACATCATTAGACTTAATTTCATGTAGTTGTTTACACTTTTTGCATGATACTACTAGAAAATTTTAAATTGCATATGTGGCTCATATTTGCAGCTTATACTATAATTCTGAAGGACAGTACAATTCTATGAGAGTAGTTCTTATTCTTTTGAGCATATTGAATTGTGCAGATGTCTACTGGGGGATAGAAATCCTTTGACTTTGTAGAAAATTAGGCATAGGTCATTTTGCAACTCAATTCAATTAAAGTATTAAGAAAAATTTATGATAAAAATGATCAGGATCAGAAAACAGTCAAAGGATAATGGTTTTCAAGTTAAAAGCCTTGTAATGCACTTGGAAAACAATGGAATCAAGTAAATTTTTTGGCTTCTAATTTAGATTTGTTAAACTGTTCTTATGTCAATAGAGACCACGTCTCTTTTAACTCCTTCACTCTATCTGCGTATCTATTTACCCAAATAACCTACTCTTTCAACAATAATGCACTTAGTCATTTACAGTATAAGAACAAAAGAAAGAGTTCTCATCACTCCCCTCTCTTCGTCTAATCTAATGCTTTATCTAATTCCCTAGACCCCAAGTATTCCATCTCAAAGGTTTAAAGAGACCTGTTGTGATATGTCATGGACGCTATTCAAGCATTTACCTTTTCTGGAACCACGCTTTTGCCATCCCATGCATAACCTCTCTTGGTGAAATAGTTTACTGTGGCAAACTCAATCAGAGCAGAGAACACAAAGGCATAGCACACTGCAATGAACCAATCCATCGCTGTCGCATAAGCCACCTTAGGAAGTGAATTTCTGGCACTTATACTTAAAGTTGTCATGGTCAGCACAGTTGTCACTCCTGTAGGTAAAGAGAGTAAGTACATAAGTGGTTCCTACTGTGAGGAACCAGAGATCAGCCTACTTGAGCAAAGGCAAATGAACAGCACCATGCACAAAACGTGGTTTTTCATTATCTCATTTTGGTTCGGTATGAATCCTAATTTAGCCCCCCTGTACTTTGTCATTCATGGTATAGCAGTACTAAAGGGACATCTTGGAGAGATAAACTTCTCTACTTTTGAGAAGATGTTAATAAGATCATGAGCTCTTTTAAACGGGTATCTTGGGTGACATAGGAAGTGACCTTCTTTTTTGTATCCAACTCTTGCAATATAAATCATAAATTGCCAGTGTGTCTGGTCTACAAGAAATGTCTAGATCCTCAGTCTTGTGTAATATTCTGTGTTCCAAATGAATAAATCAGAAACTCAAAGACTTCTAGATAATTGATAAGTAAATAAACAATTTTAGGATGATAATTTGCCATGTCATTAATTCTTTCATAGTGTTTTGTCCTAATTCTAAAATAGCCACCCACTTGAAATGATGGAAGTGATGTGTGTGGGGGACAGTTTGTCAGATTCAAATATCCACAATCTTATCGTGTCTACAAATCCTTCTTCATCTTCCCTGCTCTGCAACATCAACCCTACTGATTAAAATGACCTCTAATCAAAGTCACAACACTTTTCAAGTTGGTCCCTTTTGGTTAATTTAAGTAGTTAGATGAGCTGATAAGTAAAAAAGGATATTTACAAATCAATACCACTAATGTTAACCTACAACTTGTGTTATAGGAGAATAGAGATGCTGTGGTCAGTATACTGCTTAAGATTCCTTTTTTGTCACTTGAAAATGTGTACAAAACAGTTGACAGTTACCTACCCAAAGAGGATTAGGATGCGTGCCATGAAAATAATCTTGGTCTCCACACTTACCGCTTATTAACTTTGTGGCCAGAGTTAAGTTAGTTTATTGACAAGGACCTCAATCTCAGCCCAATCTCTTATATGATTATGTAGAGGGTGACTTGTAAAAATATGCAAAAGTATTTCAACAATTACAAATTATTTATTACTGTGGGAGGTATTCTCATTCCATAAGTCTAAAGCTCTAATCTGTAGTTCTTCTTTCTAGTTAATTTTAAGAAATCAGTAGAATACCACAGTTGATGGTGGTTAATTTTTGTAAGGTGCTTTAAACCAACCCTGTTGTTTTTCATGAACCGACCTTGTTTTCTATGAATTTCAAGGGAGGTGTTCTCTGCAACAATATTAGGAAGTGATATGATTAAGAATAAACATGATGAGATGTTTTATTAAATTTCATATATATATATATATATATATATATATATATATAATTCCTCCCCCCCAGGGTTGAAGGAAATAAATCCACTTAGAAGCTTTGGCAAGGGTACAGAAATTCTGGGTCAATATCCATAGTAATTAGCAAACAGTTTAAGGAATATTGGTTGGAAAAGTGCCTCCAAATTTACATATCAATATTAACTAGAGCAAGTAGCAAAGTAATTAAAAGTCAGTATTTGGAGAACAGAGCAACCCAGCTTAAATCCCAGTTCTATAATTGCTGAATGACCTTGGGAAAACTGTCTCCCAATTGTGACCTTCTAGTTTTTTTGTTATTTGTTTAACAGTTTTCCTTGCTGACAGATTTTATTAATGCTAACTCAGAGAGAGATTGTATTAAATAAGAATATAATGATGTGCTTAGTACATGAGTGTCCATCCCTTTGCTTGCTTTGACTGCATTAAGTGAAGAGGACGTATTTGGGGCTACATTGAAATTCATAATATAGTTAGTATGTATTTTACCTTATTTGAAAATCATGCATTTTTTACAGAATCACGTAAGTTCGTTTAATAATTAATAAGAAAACTTCAGTGTGTGCTTAATAAAAATAAACAGCTGTCTTCACAGGCCCACCTGCCTCGGTAGGTTGAAATATTATTACTGGGAATGGCTCACGACATTTACTTGGGGAATTGCATAACACCTGTCATGTCTGTTACACTTGGGTTTGAAGTCATTTCCCAGGCTCAGGCAGCACAGTACTGCAACCTCCCCTACTCAGCCTTCTGTTGTTGCCTACAGTCTCTGCCGAAGCACCCTGCAATCCAGCCACGAAACCATTACTAAAATCACTTAAGGATCTTAAGAGTTTGTCATCTTGCGTGGCTGCATCACCGGCTTTACAGGGCTGCGAGTGGTCCCTAGGCAGCAGGCCGGATGTGCCTGATTTCCCACTTAGCCTGAGAGTTACACAGGGCGAGGTTAATATCTGCTCTTGAAAAATTCATTGTCGTTTTTGACAGACAGTGAACTCTACTTTTTAAATATTTTGGTTTCTGTAGCCAGAGGTCAGAAGTCATTTGACAGTGGGTATCCTCAGACTAAATACATCCGTGAGTTAAGCGCAGTTGAGATGAATACATTGCTGGGGGGTGTTACACGTACATAGCAAATGAGAAAGGAATAGAATGTGCTGTACACCAATTAATTTCCAAGTAATAAGCCTGATGTCATATATACATATACATATATATATTCTTTTTTTCATTTCACTCTTTAAACAATACTACTTCATTTTCCTTGTACTCTCACTTAAAGGCAACTGAAGATCAGAGAGAGGGAATAAACTGGCCAAAGGGATGAAGCCAGTCCATGGTAACACTGACCCTAAAGCTTTAGTAGCAGTTGCATGACAACACAGCCTGTAAATAAGACAGAGCATGGGAAACTAAGAATATGATATTTTAAATCATAAAATAGATTTCAGTGTTGTTGTACTCTGTCTTCCTTTTAATAAACTATTACGGAATATAGCTTCTGTTTGATCATGTTTTCTTTATCTTTTGGTGTTTCTTAAATACCACTGATCCTCTCAGGGATCTATAGAGCTCGGGCAAATATGCTGAGTTCAGACTACAATAGAAACATGTGTACTAAATAAATGTTGGAAGGTTGAAGGTCTAGGAGAATTGTATTTGCAATTTTATTGAACTTAAACATTAGAAACATATAACTTGATATACAGAAACTGTTGCAACCGCTGTTTACAGATATATAGTTATGTTCACCAAAAGGGCATAAGTAGATTGAGATTTGAGGTGGTTGAAATGTTAAGAGCAGTGTTTTTTGACTTCTAAAGCCTTCTGAAATGTTTTGGAGACTTTCCAAACAGAAAGGGTAAGGAGTGTTAGAGGGAGAAGGAAAAAATGAACTTTAAAAAATTGTTTTACACTATAGTGCTGCACCCTTCCAAAATGAAGAACAGCAAAATACATATAATAATACACTCTATGTTCTTATCTGCTTTTTATTTCCTGGTGAGTAAAGAGTACATTGCAATATACGTCCTCCCAAGGGGTCAGTCTTTAGTGGTTTCCATGCTTGTTAATATTGACAAACGGTCATAAAGAAAAATGAGCTTCAAATGAATTCTTTTGCTCTGCAACTGAAAATCATTTTGCATCTTAGTTTAGCTGTGTTCTTAGGCTATTGTCAGAGCACAGATTTAGTGGTTTCCAACCTGGGATCATTTGCTAAATCCAGGGAAGATAAACAAATCTCCCCCACCCCACAAAAAAACACATTTCTGAACACTTGCAGCAAAATTCTGATTTTTTTTCCCCTAAGACAACTGATTTTTTATACTTTGCACATTAGAGAAAGATATCATAGGCATTTCTACACCTAAAAAAACTTCATTTTTGATTGTAAACTTCCTCGGGCTTTTTATTTAGTAGCATAGGGTCTTAACCATAACAAGTGCCTACCTGACATTTCCAAAATGAACCTTGATAATTGTATCTTTTACAAATAAATAAGTGATTATTATTTCTAAATGAATGACACTGGCCATTAACAAGTCTGTTCCATATCTTGTTGCTGAAGAAGGAAAGCACAGAGGCGATAATACAGCACCAACATGACGGGTACAGACTCTAGATCTAAGTGCTTGCGCCTCACACCTCAGTCCTTCACCCACTACCTTTGCCCTTGGACAGTTTTCTTCATCTTATATTCATTTGCTTTCTTATTTACACAATGGTGCTAATGGCAATATGTAAGATGTTTTAATGTTAAGTCAGGTAGCATAGGCTAATTACACTAAACAGTGCCTGGTACAAAAAGAATCAATAAATATTCTTTATGACAGATATGACTATTTAAATTTGAAGCTCCAAAATATAACCTTCATGAAGGGAGTGGCCCATGTGCAATTAACTACCACATTCTGTTCCTAGAATACGGTAGTGGCTCACAGTAGGTCTCAATAAAAATTCATTGATTGAATAAGGATATAAGTTTATTGTAGTGAAATTCTGTGTATTTGTAGATCTGAAAAGTACAATGGATAGGTTATACTGGGACACAGTCAGACACAGCCCTCTTTATGAAATGTAAACTCTAAAGTAATACATGAGGAGGTCGGTTTTTCCATTAGAAAAGATTGTTTCCTTTTAAATAGCTCTCCATTAGGTTGCCTTAACTTGACTATTTAAGTCACTTAAAATATTTATATAAAAATGTAATATATAATTTATAATTCTTCAGAAGTATAGGTAAAAGGAGGTGTCCCTCTAGTGATGTGACCCTTGATAAGCCCTTCCTACTTATGGAAACTGCTTTGAGATATGTGAGGAATTCATTCTAATGATATTTTCTAAGATTCTCAAAAACATACTGCAATATGTTATGCGCTATGTGTCTATTTTAAGGTTTCTGTGTATGGGTTTTTAATCTGGCATGATACTTATTATGCTTGCTTTACTGGTGCTTTGCTGTCCCAAAAGATGAAACCAAATGTTCAATAATCCCCCCCATTCACCTGCATCAATGCAGCTTGCTTGTTATTTAAAGACAGTATTTTGTTTTACCATGTCCCGGTAGCAATGGCAATTCTCCGAGCCTTTCTATTACACTAACTTCAGATTTGAATATAGGGTGATGTTTCTCATCCTTTCTGCAGTGACACAGACCTTTGCATGAAGATCTTGAATGACACTCACCAAAGACAGTTCTCGCAGGTACAGACTCTCTGTTGAGCCAGAAGGAGACTTGTGAGAGAATAACGGTCATTATGCATGGCAGGTATGTTTGAATCACAAAATAGCCAATCTTTCTCTTCAAGTGGAAGTGAGTAGTCATAACAACATATTCGCCTGGAGGGTAAAGCAGACAGGAAGCTTGAGCAATTTGACCTTGAAAGGATGTTATTTCTGAGATTTTCTATTAGCAGCAAAATTCTGGAGGTTAGGCACATCCTTCTTTCTTCATGTGACATCTAGTCCCTACAAAGAAAAGCTCTGAACCAAGAAAGAAAAGCTTTGAACCAAGACAATTTTAACACACACAAAACGGCTGTAAGGATGACAAAGAGGTGCAAGAGTTCTTATGGATATTTTTACCACTTAATGTTGCTGCATCGTATACGTAAGTGCCAAATCTGACCATGTACTCATGTTTTCAGAATGGCTTTAACGATCATGATGGAAATGTGCCGGATTCTGTGACCTGCATGGATATATCACAGATAGACTAAACCTCCATCTGGTCTGGCCACCACAAAACAAATTCAGGATGTCTACTGAAGTCTCTGGTGTGCGAGGCAGGGCAGCTGGATTCCAGTTCTAACACTTCATTGAACTACCCATAAGAAATTCAGCTTGATCTATCTACAAAATAGTGAGCTAGAATCCATTATTTCTCATAATTTATTTCCCAGAACCACCTGAGAAACATGTGAAAGGTGCAATTTTTCAAATCCCACCTAGAATACAAACCATCCTTTGAATTGCCAAAGAAACTTGTATTCGTAGTCATTTTTTTTTTCTTTTTCTCCTTTAAATATTTTTTTTCCTGCAATTCTGGGGGTTGAACTTCCTGCATCACACAAGGTAGAAAAGTACTCTACCGTGATCACCAAGCTACATACCCCAGCCTTACAGGTACATCCCATGGTCTTTCCCTACTCCAAATCCTGACTTCATTTAGAGATCTGAAGCAATAGATACACAACCCAAAATGCAGAAGAAGGGCTTCATTTTTCTTCATGCTACATTTTTTCAATTATGAATTGTGTTGATTTGGGGTTTGTTGCAAGGAGAAATAATAACATATAGGACACATATTTTATAAGATTATTTATAATAGTCACCCAAGGAATCATATACAGAGAGTACAGGAAATCTGTCCACATAGTAGAGATCAAAGAATCCAGCTGAGGGCCTGGATCCCACGATAATATCCTGCATGAGTCCATCTGAAGACCTAGAGCTCATAACAATATCTCATGCAGGCATATTTCGTGGATCTGTTCTGGGAGGGCACAAAGGTCTGTGATGGAATCTAGAAAGTCTGTGGCAGTGGGATGAAGGATCTGTGCTAGCGGGCTGAGGGATCTGCACTGGAGCCAGGAAGCAATGCTCAAAGTAAAAACCAGAGCTGCCCCCAAAAGCACACAGCCATTCTCAGCAACAGCGAGGTCCCAAGCTCCTCCAATGATCAGGATAGCTGAGTTCCCATCCTGAAAGTCAATGCAGGGAGCTTCTCAGACCAGCAGTGCACCATGTTCCCCTCTGGAGCCAGGAAGCAATGCTCAGAGTGAGGACCAGAGCTCCCCCAAAGTGAACCAAAGCTATTCTCAGTGCCAGTAAGGTCCCAAGCTCCTCGGAGGATGAAAACAGCCAAGTTCATCAGGAAAGTCAGCATGACAACCTCCTCCAAAAGAACCAACAGCTCCTTATAGTTTCCACCAGCTCCAACAGCCTTACTTCTTCTCCAGTTCTGCCTCTTATGCTGCTGGCAACAGTCCCCAAGTGGGCCTCCCACTCCCAACACCACGCTTACTCAATTCATCTGGGGGTTATAAGTTGTCAACTCACTACACAAATCTTAGAGGTTTTTAGCCTGATTTACTCAGAAGATATACTTAGCTCTCTGTGAGTAGGTTGGGGAAAACTAGATGTGTTCTGGGTAAGAAAGGGTCACCCTGTTTAAAACATTTCTGTACCTTGTCCTTGTCCCCACCCAAAGAAACTGAAGCAACAACAGCAAAAAAACAAACCTTCACCACCCTTAACTTACCATTTTTATCTAAAGCCACAGGCATTGGACTTCAGTCCCTACAGTGTGACTACAGTAGCACACCAGGCCCCCTTCATCACCATAACTGCAGCCTGGGTCTCAGTCTGGCTGCTCACCTTCATGGCATTAAATGAATGGTGATTACCCCTATGTTTTGTTTGTTTGCTTGTTTGCAGTATTAGATATGAAGCCAGGTCTTCACCCCATCACGTTTCATCCCTATTTGTTTTAATGTTTTTTAATTTTTATTTTCAGAGAAGTTCTTATTAAGTTGCTCCAGCTAGACACATTTTTTATCCTACCATTTACACTTGATCTTAGTCAAAGCCTGAGATGTGATGATCCTCCTGCTTTAATCTCCCTTGATGCTGAGCTTTAAGAGATGTGTACCACTGCTCCAAGACCCTACCCTCCTTTTTTTTTGTTGTTGTCCTGATCATTGAACCCTGGGTCTTTTCACTGAGTTACACTCCCAATCAACCTTCCTTCCTTCCTTCTTCCTTCCTTCCTTCTTCCCTTCCTTCCTTCCTTCCTTCTTTCCTTTCTTCCTTCCTCCCTCTTTCCCTCCTTCCTTCCTTCTTCTCTCTCTCTCTCTTTCTCTCTCTCTCTCTCTGTCTCTCTCTGTCCTTCTTTTGAGACAGAGTTTTGCAAAGTCCCTAAATTGCCCAGACTGGGCTCGAATTTGAGATCCTCCTGCCTCAGTCTCCCAGAGCAATGGAATGATAGGTCGGCACATCCAGCTCTGGCCTCTATCTTCTCAATAACATACTGTTCACTCTCACATTCACTTTATCTGTTATCTTCCATTTCTTTTGCCATCTCAATGATTATTTCAGTGGGGGATTATTCACTGACATCTTTGTTCAACACTTCTTCTTCTCTTTCTTTAACTAAGTGTAAGATTTCCAAAGTCAATCAGTGGTGGTTCTGCCCACAGCTCTCTTCCTTACTGTGTCTTCACTCATAAGTTCTGTCTGTCACTGCTGTCCCTACTGTTACCTTTATGCAGCTGTATGGACAGCTGCCAAGTCCACATCATGAGTGACCTGGTCCTTAAAATAAAGATATATTTGTTAGACAGACCTAAGCTAGAATTTTAGTTTCACATATACAATACATGAAGCTGCCTCCTCCATCCCCTCCTCTTCCTTTTCCTGTTCTCTTCCTCTTCTTCCTGTTTTCCCTTTCTTTCCTCTCCTCCTCTCCCTTTTTCTTTTCCTTCTTCTTCTCCTCCTTCTCCTTCTTTTTCTCTCACAGTGTTCCTCAAGTTAATCTCAAACTTGTTTTGTGGCCTGAACTGGGTTCAAATTCACAAATGTCCTGCCTCAGCCTCCTTCTGAGTGTAGGGATGTCAGGCATGTGCTACCATACCTGTAAACTTTCTGCTTCCTCTTATCTCATGGTCTTATCTCTTTAAAGACTTATTAAAATAATCTTTTAAGTACTTCCAGTCATATCTTACTTCTAATTTTTCCCTAAATTTTAGTATAGAATGAACTTACACATATGAAATTGCCACTCATTTTCTTACTTAGAAATACATCAGTGGATTCCCATTGTGATGGAGAATCCTGATTGTCAACATCACTGGACCAAGACAGGCTAGAAAAGTGCTTAAGCAGCCTTCTGGTTTGTCTGTGAGCTTCCTCTAGAGAAGCTCCTGTGTGGATCAGGGCACTGAGAGGGATGGATGCTCCCTGAGGGTGAGTGGCACCTTCCACTGGGCCCAGATGGGACAAAGAGCAAAAGGGGCAGGCTTCTCCATGCTTGATTCTTCTCAAGGTCCACTCTCACTGTGCCATCTTCACAGACAAGCCTCCAAGTGCCTCAGCTTTTCACTACAGACTTCCATCAGCAGCTCTCCAGGGAGCGTCCAGGCCTCTGCCCTTGGAGAGAGACTGCATCCATGGTCCTTCTTGTTCTCAAGTTTCCAGCTTCTTGGACTGAAAGGCTTTGCTCTGTCACTGGCTGTGAACCATCATCTTCCGTCAGCTATGGGCCTCAAAGCAATAGAGCCAGCTGACCATGGAACTCCTAAAACCTGGACACAAAATAACTCCTTTCCTTTTAAGGGGTTTATCCCTTTTATGTATTTTGTCACAGCAACAAAAAGATGACCTGTACACCCATGATCTACGTCAAGTTTCTCAACCTCGGGACCATGAGCACACTGGGCTGGATAGTTGCTTGTCGAGGGCTGTCCTGTGCATTGCATCATATTTAACTATATCTTTGGCCTCTATCCACTAGATGCTGGTAGCAAATGATTTCCCCTTCTCTGGTGTGGCAATAAAAACTGTCCACAAATTAAACAAGATGGTACACACTTGTAATCCTGGCTTTCTAAGAGGCTGAGGCCAGAGGATCTCAAGTTCAAGGCTAGGCAATTTAGCAAGATTCTATCTCAGAATTAAAAAAAATTAGGAAAGAACTGCAGTTTAGCTCAGTGTGAAGGCCCTGGGTTCAACCCCTACTACCTCAAAGCAAACAACCACATGAACAAACAAGCAAGCAAGCACTGTCTACAGCTCCACAGGTGGACAATGATGAGCAAACTACCCAACTGGTGTTTGAGACTCACCACATGTTATTTCTAACATGTACTGCATTCCCATGTATCCACAGATATTCATGTCTTAATATCTTGTCCTAGAAAATTATTCTTGATGTCTATGGCTGAATACTTGGTTCATTTATAGGTTGGGCCCAGCTCAGATAGATTCAATATTCAATATTGGTGTTTGGTGAAAATGGAGGCTTATGGTAGCTCAATGAAAATAAAAACCATGGGCATCTCTATTTTGAAGGATAAACAAAATATTAAGTAATTAATTTATTGCTTTCTCTATATACCTTTGGGGATATCTCCAAGGTCATTTGGAAGAGAATGAAGCAATCCATAGTTGGGGGAAATGCTGAAAAGCCAATTATCCCCAAACTCTCCTAAATTATACCTGTGTGGACAAAGCCATGGTACATTTTTACCATCCCAGGGACACACATTATTATTCCTAACTATTCATTCAGCTGCAGCCTGCAAAATGTCATCAGCTCAAAGAAAAAATTTCTATCTTTTATATAATGTCAGGAAGATGTCTGTCTACATATATTCCATTATCTTTTGTTGTTGGCAATGTGACATTTTTGTAAAGACTCTGAAAAGAATAGGATTTTTTAGGTGTCTGAAGAGCTATTAGTTTACATTATATTTATTTTATGAGTAATTTCTTGCCCTAACATATTAGTGAAGAATAAGCGAACGTCCAATGTTTTGAAACCATCTTCTTAGATTAAATGAAATCTAGGAAGTTTGCCACAGAAGTTTTACATAAAGGAAGGAAAGGTCAGCAACATCAGAATCAAACTGGAATAATTTAAAAGTGAAAGAAAAACACAATAAAAAAGCTCCAGTTTCTTACGCTGGTTTGAAAGCAAGTCTAGACAGCAGGTACTTAGGCATTAAGTATATCAAATTCTTCTTCTCTAATTCAAGAGGATAGAAGAATTATAATTCAAATATCCACATGTATCATGTAGCCCCAAGTAAAGCTTGTAAATTAGATGTGACAATATTTCTGCTACTGCAATATAAAATTAAAGAGAATGGAAGAGAAGAAACAGGAATATAATTTTGCAAAACAACATTAGATGTTTGTTGGGTGGTGCTTCAAATCTCTGCTTTCTCAACTATTAATTACTGGGCGGTAAATACCTTGCTTCTTTCATTTTGCTTCAGGTTTCTGATTTGTCCAATTAATATGAGAGCATTCAACAGTTGTGGGATGCTTTGAAGATAAGATTAAATAATTAATGTGAAAATTATTTTTAAAAATCTGAATACCACTGCAAATATATAGTTTCACATTAGAACAGAGCAAGGTGTTGTGTCTCCTCTTTCCAGTTCAAGAAACTAAGTCTTCAGACAATCAATAAAATTCTATGAAACAGTGATTTTATGTGAAGCTATGATGTTCCCTCCCTTTTTTGTTTATTTGGTTTTTTTTTAGTACTAAGGATTAAACCCGGGGCTTCCTACTGAGCTATGTTCCTCCTAGCCCTTTTTAAAATTTTTACTATGATACAGGCTCTTGCAAAGTTGTTAAGTTGCTCAGGCTGGGCTTGAGCTTACTATCTTTTTGCATCATCTCCCAGAAGTACTGAAGTTACAAACACATGCTACTATACCCAGCTTTTTCCAAAACTTAAAAGAATTCAAAAATAAATGATATGTTAAAATGGTGGTAGCATTTTACTAACTGCTTCGTGAAATAAAGAACTAGTAATAATTACACTGGACTATATTACTACTTTGCCTTTCTGAACTTGTTCCTTCATTTGACATAAATAAGTTGATGAAACAACCACAAACTCTTTTTTCCCTCAGTTCCCCCCTTCTATGTTTGTAACTATTTCTCTAGAGACCATGTACTAGGGTTTATAAATGGGAGCCCTAAGTATCGTTAATGAATGCTGATCACTGCTGTTGTGGGGATTGAAGATTAAAATACTGCCAGTCATATCAGTTGGTTATCTCATGCAACCATGCAATTATTATTATTTTTTTTTTTAGTGTAAGGGTTGTTTGTCTTCAGTCTGTCTTATCTAGACCCAGCACAGTACTGGACTTGGTAAATGAACAAATGATTAAAGGAGGAAGTGGGAAAGTGAATGAGTAATGGACCCTTACACTGGATTTGAAATTGATGAGAATTTATCCTTCCCGTGTGCCTGTAATAGTTTTGCTCTGCTGGGTGAAAAAGTGCACTTCGAACTAAGGGCTATAACTAACTTTCTTTATCTAAATGTGACAACAGACTCCACAGAAGGGATTGTGCCTCTAAATGTGTCTGCACTGAATTAAAAATTTCAAACACTGTGTTAAGATTTCCATTGTTTTCTCTCTGATGGCACTGAAGTGACCTAGAGATATTTTGACCTGACACAGGTCACTGGGATTATGTGCTTGTGTTTTCACATGTGTGTGGATGGCAGGCAAGTAACATAACTGCTTTCAACCTTGTAAGAGGTGACTGGAATTGATGGTCTCCCCAATGAGGTCTGGCCATTCTTATTGTGTGTACACTCTCCACTCATCCTTCTCTGGTCTTCTGGCAGAAACAAGGAAATAATTGCCTTCAGGGTCATTTATCTTAATGTTTTCAGGGCTCCACAAAGAGATGTGAGGATGAAGATGTTACTCAAGATCTTATAGTGACGTGGTCAAAGTTATTTGGGCCAGAACTAACTTATTTCTTCCTTCTCTAAACTACCTTCCAGAATTGAATATACTGCTGCATACATAATACTGCATTTGAATCATTTTCTGGACCCCCTGCAAGTTCCATGCTAGCAATAATAGATGGACAGCTCCTTGTGGAAACAGGATGTGTCTGTTATTCTGAATGTCCTGGGCCTTGAACAGTGATTAGTTGTCCTCTAACAGATGTAGACTATAAAAGAAAAGAAAAGACACCTCCTGAGGCGATCCTTCCTCAGTTATCCTAAGCTATATTCATTTATTTATTGTATTAAGTCAAAATATTTATGCAATGCCTCCTATGTCTCAGTTACTAAAGAAAATGATAGAGATACAGAAGATAGACGAGGTCTCTACCCTCACAAAAATGTTAATCACAGCACTTATGATCCATTTGGATAATTACAGTTTATGTATTCATCTGTTCTTACTTCAATTCTAGGAGAGCAAGGTCTGTACCTTATCTATCACTGAACCTCTAGAGCCTGTCATAATGTCTGGATTATAATAGCATTCCATTTTTAAGAAGTAAGCACAACTTATTTTAGTATCTCTTACAATAAAGAATGTTGTAAGAAAGAAAAATCTTCAGGATTTTTCGTGTTTAGGATGTTTTCAGGACTAACAGCAGCCACTCTGAAGACCTACTTATTTTTTACAACACTTAAGATTGTTCATTTTTAATGAAAATTATAGCATTCCCACTCTTTAGATGAGACCAACATTTCCACTTGAATAAATGACGTCTCCAAAATCATGACATCACTAAGCAAGAGAGCTCGCATTGGAGGGTACAACTTTCTCACTAGAAAACTATGTCACTTGCATTTCTGATAAGAGGAAAGATAAAGATAAGTCTTCTCCATTGTTTAGGACAAGGTACACAAGTTTTTAAGCTTTTAAGATCAAGACTGATATTGTTAAGGACAACTAACCCTAACCTGACATTGATAGTAAAAATATTGACTGCTTACTTAAAGGGCCTAAAATTATAAGGGTCCCAAGATGAACTTTGAAATCTAATAAAAATAGTTTTTCACAGCAAAAGAGTGCTCTTATATAGCACTAAAATATCTTATATAGCACTAAAATATCTTTCTTTAGAAATCACAAATCAAAGTGAATTAAACAAATTTTATAAGACATCTATAAAAATAAGTGTTGATATTAAATATTTCAGTCACTGAACAAATTTTACAGTATTGGCCTTTGAGGGGATCATCAGTTTTCCTAATTGTTAAGTCCACATTTATTTGACTTGATTCTGATATTTCAGTTAGTACAAAATGTTTATTTGCATAAATGAAACATTATTATTTGAAACAACTTTGAAATCTCAGGTCCATAATTTTAACAGTGTCTAATGTGGCTCTGAGAATGCCATTAGTGAACCAGTTACAACATCAAAATTTTGACAGCCCACCTACTTTTAGTTCCAAACTGGAGTCACCAGTCATGTGGCTACATCTCCACTGGCGTTAGATGGGGAAGATGCTTGGCTAGAGGTTTGTAGAAACTGATATGCAGAATAAATTGGCTTTTTGGTGCCCCGTGTGTAATGAGCACTGTCACAAATGCACCAAGATTATTACGTTAACGTCTATGGAAGCCTTTATGTACTAAGAAATGTGATATGTAATCTTCATGGATTTAATTTGATTCCTTCCAACAACACTGCAGGTTGATGGCGATCTCCTGGCAAAGTGTAGGAGTAAAAAATTCACCCAGATATTCATCCCCAAGGATTCGCATGCCTGCCTTCTGTGCCACAATGATCACACAGAACTAGATCGTTACTTGCAAAGAAACAAAAGCCAAAAGGCACTAAATGACAGGTCCAGCCTCACAGGTCTACACAGTTGACATTACTTCAGAGCTTAACAGATCCCAAGTCCGGTACAATTTTCTCTGTCCTGTGTTTGTGTCATTGAAAGAGTCATTGAGGTCTTACATTGTCCCAGTATATTTTTCTATTCTTTTTCCCACATTTGGATGGATCCAGTGAGGCTTACCTGTACTGGACTGAACAATCCCAGAGTCTACTGTTTGTCCCAGAAGATCATACTGGTTTAAGCGTGACCCATCTTCCGCTACAACCACTGAGCGCGCTGGCTCTCTGGTCCACTCGTAAACAACTTCTGCTCTTGTGTAAGCATCTAAAATGGAAGTGGAGAATTAACTGTGTATTTTGCCTCTTCAATTCTCCTAGTTTGTTGATGTGCTCGATTAGCTTCATATTTCTTGCCTCACGATTTCAGAGAGCAAGGTAGGAAAGAAAAGCTCATATTACCCGGTTTTAGAATACCAAAACATATTTTTTCTGATTCTTTCAACCATTCATTCACTCTTCCAGCACATGATTATTAGAGATCTACAAAGCAAAGTACTGTGCTGGTCTACGGTAATGAACATAGCAGAAAAGGTGCTGATTTTAAGGGTTGTACATTGTGGTGGTGGGGACAAAAGCAGATAAGCCAGTAAATGTATAATTTCAAGTAATATTAAGTGCAATGAAATCATACATAAATCTCTAAAGAGAGAATTAAGGATGAAGGGGATCACTTCAGGTAAGAAAAGGGACCCAGAGTGCCCCTGAGAAGATGACATTTATGCAAATGCATATCAAAAAAGGAGTGATCTAAGTGGAAGTCATGGAGAAGAACTTGCTTAACAGACAAACTAGCAAACTTTTTCTTTTATTGTGTGTAAAAAATCAATATGACAGCCAGGCTTGATGGTGCACACCTGTAATCCCAGAACTTGGGAGGCTGAGGCAGGATGATTGCTGTGGGCTTGAGGCCAACCTGAGCCGCACAGTGAGTTCAAGGCCAGCCTGGGCTGTATAGTGAGACCCTGTCTCAAAATTAAAAAAAAAAAAAACTAATTAATTTGAGAAAAATTAGTGTGTCTCCAGTGAAGATTATGAGAGATAAAGTGGGATTAAAGTTAATACCTGTTGTGAAACGAAGGGAAAATGCTCAAAAGTAAAGGGCAAGGGGGGTGTGGGAAAAGAGAAAAAAAAAAAGGGGAAATTATGTATGTATATATATATATACAGGATAGCTAACATAGTTGAACTACTGTCTCCTATTGCTTTACTGAAAGAAACAGTTAATGATTCCTTGACTGATCAATAGTGTATGTCTCTATTCGTTTTCCTGAGAAACCACTTTGAAGATATCAATACGTAACACAGCAACCATGTTAATTTCCTACCACTTTGTTTGTAACTCTGTACTGTTTGTATTGGTCTTTTGCTATTTTGTAAATGATTGTCTGTTTGTTAATGTGTTTCCTTCTTTTATTTTTTCTAAATAAAAAAAAATAAAGTTAATAGCCTGGGTCCATATTATGTTAAGCAGAGAGAAGTTTATGACACATAGGAAAAGTAACCAGAGAAATTTTACTGCACAACAACTTACAAAGAAATTCTAATTTTACTCCCTTTATAGTTATTATATTTTATACTTCTTCACCACCCTTATGATGATGATGGTGCATTACATTATGTAGCTCTTCTTCACAATCATTTTCATTTGCCATGTTTCTTTTAACCTAGCCATCTGCTATGCGAGAAGTTTGATCATAAATGTTTAGTATATGGAGGAGGAGATTACAGGGTGAGAGAAAAAGGGAAGAAGAAGAAAAAGAAGGAGAAGGAGTAGGAGAAGAAGGAGAAGAAAAGGAAGGGGAAAGAGAAAGTGTAGGGGGAGAGCAGGAAGGGAAGGGGAAGGAGAAGAAGAAGAAGAAGAAGAAGAAGGAGAAGAAGAAGAAGAAGAAGAAGAAGAAGAAGAAGAAGAAGAAGAAGAAGAAGAAGAAGGAGAAGGAGGAAAAGGAGGGGGAGGGGAGGGGAAGAAGAAGAAAGAGAAAGAGGAAGAGGAAGGAGGTGGAGGAAGAGAAGCAGGAGAAGGAGAAATAAAGGAAGAGGAGAAAGAGGAAAAGAAGGAAGAGGAGAGAGAGGCGGGGGAAAAAAGAGGAGGAGGAGAGGAAGAAGAGAAGAGAGAAGAGAAGGAGGAAGAAATAATTGCATAGCTTTTCTGGCTTCTGGTTCCAGGGTAGAAATGATGATACATACTCACCTCTATTTAGATATAAAGTAATGTTTAAAATTAAGGGGATATCATATTAGAGAAAGTAAATTGCTTCCAGGGTGTTTAGTGGGAAGGCATGATCGCAAAAGTTGGCCTAATTGCACAAACCAGACTTTCTGGCCAATGGCCAACTTCTCCATTAGACACAATGGGCACAGTGCCCAGGGCCCAAAATACTTTTGGAAGGCCAGGAAAATGTTTTAATTTTTTTTTAAATCAGGAGATAAAAGAAAAATAAACCAACTTGAATTACATGAATTTTCATACTGACCTAGTTATAAAATACAGTTATAATTTTGTTTTGAAGGAATGGTTCCTAAAGGTAAAAGCACATATGGCTTATAAAAGCTATAATGTGATCTTGCCTGACCCAGTTCTCACCTATACGGAGTTGTGCCAAATTTACATTAGTACAACCTAAAAGATTGTGAGATATACAATTATGGTTCTTACGTGAAAATGGGTTTGCCCAGAAATGATGCAAACCAAGACCCTCAGTCTCTGAATTAAGCTTGTTAAAGAGATCACTTTTCTCTGCCTTGACAGATACTGATAAATGCAGTCAGTGTTCTCTGGTTTTATGTGGGCAACCTGTCTTCAGGAGCATCATTTCTGGATCAATCTACAATCATAGATCTCTTTCAACAATTTTTTTCTAGAGATACTAGAGGAATTAATTGAGTGACTCACGAGACAGATGAAAGTGACAAACGGATAATTTGGAATTTGTCCTTTTTGACCTTTCCACTTTTCCTTCTTAATTGTAGTTGTCCTCAGTGACTTAAAAAAACAAAGTGTTCCAGAAATTTACATAGTAGGAAGATTGCATCTGCTAGAAGGGTAAAAGATTTGGTTTTAAAAAAAATCTCTTAGAAGATAGCAGAAAATACCAGTTTGCAAAGGACTATATTACTTAAAATTTGTAGACACTTACATTTAGTAAAAAGTTTTGCTGGTCATAAGATGTTCTTGCTTTACCTAGGAAGCCATACTGAATCACCGAATGCTAAATTTGAAAGGTGCCAAAAGTCACATAGTTTCATCATACTTTACAGATAGTAAAATACCCTTAAATGACTTAAGGGTGTGTCACCATTTAAAGCAAAACTGAGGTAACAATTTACGATGCTATTCATTCTACTTCAGTGCTGTTTGTATGGTTGTTTCTTAGGTGAAACTGTGTTTTATGCTCCTTTGCTGAGGATGGATAGTGTGTGGTCATGTAATTAGTGATGAAGCCAGTTCTAAATCTCATGTCTTTTCACAAAATAACTAAACCCCCTTCCATTATATTTCCACTGTTGTTAGCAATAGTGGCTGGGGCTCTGTCATCTCATACTTTGTCATGAGATGAGACTAAGTCACAAAGGGAAAACTGTGTCATGTTGATTCATCCCTTCGTATCACTTTGGGGTCTCATCTCTTGCAGTGTCTTAGAAACACCACTGCATACGAAAGCAAGCAGACCAGAGATCACAAACATGACATTATTATGAAGGCAGGGTTCACTTGCTATTCCTATCTCCCAGTGGAAATCTTCTAAAATGAGGAGTAAACTTGTAGGATGGAAGTTGATATTTTAACATAGAGAAGGTGATATATAGAGGGCTTGAAAATAGGTGATACTTCCTGCTGTTTCCTCAAATTCAGGTATCTAGAAAAGAATTTCTCTGAAAATTCAAAAATTTTAAGTTATGATTTCAAATAAATCATATTAACTAAGAAAAAAGTTTTAAAGACAAAACAAAGATTTTGGTTATGATTATGAAAGAACTTTGTGGTGGTGACACCAGGAGCATAAATTTAGCATTCAAAGAGCGCCTGATGACAGATACTATTGCTTCGCTTTTGTGGGCCTTTGTCTTTGTATGTGTATGACAGCCGCATGATTTCTATGGACTTGTGCCAAGCAGCTAGTTAAGAAACAAATATTTACTAAGCTCTTAATACTTCTAGCACTTGCCTAGACCTTAGTGGTAGAATCCACACCTTTTCTTAGAAGATTTTGTATTTTCCTCAAAAAACAATCTAAAGATGACAACTGTATCATGTGTATTGTCTTTGGGTTAACTGTTCCTAGGAGGAGGTCTTTATTCCTGACCAGCAGAAAGTATTATTTAGCACTGACAGTTAGAGCCTAATGGAGAATGATAAGGAAAACATCTGCTTTGCCAAATTCAATGTGTATCAACATATAGATGGGGTCATTTTGGAAGCTTTGTAAACATTTATTGCAGGATGTTCCACTCTATCTTGGGAAACCACTCTTGCTTATCCTCTTCTCATATATTCTAGCAAAATATTTACTCGCAATATGGGTCAAAGAATTTTTGCTCGCTTTTTCTTCACCTTCGGCACATGCTGATTAAGCCAGGTTAGAGACAAGACTAGAGGGTGAACAGCACTTCCACTGCTCCCGGAAGTGGCGTGGGAAACAGCTACTCTGTCTCTCAGTGAGTAGGACTAGCTAAGCCTATATTTCCATGTAAAGTCTTCTCCATTATTGCTTAATTCCCCACTGATCATATATGCTTATTTTTCTCAAGCATAAACCCTGGGAAACCATGCAAAACCTGATTACTATAATCTTCAGAAATGTAATAAATATTTTTCAAATGCATACTTGGTGTCCCCTTCGACACCAGGAAGGGACTAGTAAAATTTATCTTGGTCTCACCAAGGTTAGTTTTCAGACAAGAAAATGCTTCCACCAATAAATGAAGCTAATCATTCATGCCACAATAATTGATATAAAAAGGTGCACTGGGATGAAGGGAGGCTGATAGGGGAGCTAAGGATGCAGCTCTGTAGTCAGGCACTTGCCTGTTCTGGGAAAGGCCCTGGGTTCAATCTCCAGCACTGTGTTAAAAGAAGGAGAAGAAGGGAAAGGGAGAAAGGGAAAGGAAAAGGGACAAAAATTGTTGCTCTGTACAAATGCCTACACAGTCACCTGGAAGCCCTAGGACTTGTTATGTTTGGGAAGAAGAAGCCCTCAGACTCACTAAACTCCAACTGCAGTGTGATCCAGGCAGAGAAAAGAGCATGTGCAGAAGCACTGTGGTGGAAAAGGCTTATTTTGCTCGAATTCCAGTGTTTTTAGGTGCCAGATGATTAATTTTCCACTCAGAATCCATTTGCTTCTTCCCAAAATACCTCTAATAGTCTTCAGGTTGCAAAGAGAAAAATACCTTCTTCTCAATCTCTTTTGCTAATAGCATTGGGAGTGTGATATACATTTGATTCATAAAACATGAATAGATCCCTGTTAGGATTTTAGAACAACCTTTTTCTTTTTGATAGAAGGAGGACTCCCTTTTTTTTTCCCAAGTAGATGCAATGGCTAGAGTTTCATTAGCCATCTAGTGATGAGAAAAAACACCTAAAGGTTACAGCTAGGCTTAGGATATTTTAAGGTTTCAGTTTTGTTAAGGGTATCTTAAAACAGCAACTTTGTTAAGCTGCTTAACTATCCAGCACTTATCCAACAATCGCTTACTGTCATACATCTTATATGAAAGTATAAACCCTCTCTTTATCAACTGTCTGTATTAATGAAATAAATTCCAAATAATTATGAAAAATATGCAATCTCTGGTCTAGATTAGGGGATTTTTGAAGGTAAAGGAGAGCACTATTAATAATTATTCCAGGATATTAGGAATAAATCAGTGCTGTTTCAGGCAAAATATGATATATGATCTTCCTAACTATGAGGCTACACTACAGATGAGTATAAACTCATCTGTAGTGTAGCCTCATAGTTAGGTTTATAAGTACACAAAGATTTAGCATATTACCTCGCCTGCAAGTAAAACATACTGTGTACTACTGTTAAAGATGCAGCTGGCCTTCAGGAGAAAATATATAGTCCATCAAGTAAAATGTATATTAAAATGAGAAAGGGTGGGGGAAAGGAAGTTACCACTACAGGCCTAATTATTTGACAGTTTTTGAGATAGTTTACCCTGGAGTTTTGGGACAGAATGAGATTTATAAATAGAGAAGACTGCCTCTCCATGACTAGTGCGGGAAGAGCAGGAGGCCCTTTGCTATTTTCTTTGCTTGCTGTCTTCCTACACTACCACTATTTTTCTTCTATGAATCATATCTTCACCAAAATAGTTGCTCAGCCTGGCTGTCTAGTGAGAACAGAAAACTGCTTAGGCAGCCTGGGAGTTGACTCAGGCCTTATACGTAATGTCCTATGCGACAGATGCCCGGAATACATTATTTTCACTTGCTTCGTGCATGCACACTGGTCCGATGCAGGACAACGAGATCAGAGAACCTGGCTCTGAGGTCCATTGTTGTCATGGCTTCCCTAAGGGGCACCTGAATATTTTCAAGTAGAAGAAATCCAAAAATTTACCATAAAGGACATTTATTTAGGATATCATCAAAGGCAAAAATATGTTCACAAACTCTATGGGACCTCCCAACTGATGCAGAAATCTTTCATAAGTCCAAAGAGGAGAAAATCTTTCTAGAAACCTCCATAAAATGAAGACCTTATGCTTAAGAAACATCTACTTACTGTCTTTGGCCATCTACCAATGTTGAAATCTGGCAAACAAGTTGAATTATTCTTAAGATCAAATAATGTCAACAAAATAAGATAAACACTAATGTCCATTTATTTGCAGGGAAGGTTTTTTTTTTCTTATATTATGAAAAAATTAAACAAATTTTCCTAGCACAATACTAAGGGACTAACAATGTTATCCACGTGGTACAAACATCCATATTCCACTCATTTTTCTGTGGATACAACCTTAACAAAGATGAAATAGAATTCTTCCACTAAATAGTTTAACCTATGCTTTCTGTTCTAGTAGATAAATAATAACCCTTTCCCTGAAATAATATTAAAGAGTTAAATCAAGGATTACTATTTATAGGAAGCCTTGGCAATATATTGTATTTAAATTTTGTTGATGATTTTGTGTCTAACAGACTTCACGAACTGGAGGTCTCTTGTTCAATGTTTAGATCTCTCACAAGAATACAGAAAATATAGAAACAAGTAATAAAGAAAACCAACATTGTCAATCTTATATTCTTATGTCTGGTGGACTGAGTAACTTTGTTGAAGGTAAGAGTATGTAATGTAGCAACCATTGTAAATTCCTATCATTTTTTTTTTTGAGGTCATGTATCGTTTTTGTTGTTTTTGTTTTGTTTTGATTTTGTTTTCTTTTTTGTCAGTTTTTTAAATTTTTAAAATAAAAAAGATAAAAGGCAAAAGATAAAAAAAAAAAGAATACAAAAAATAAATTTACTCACAGCTTCCAAATTTTAGTGGGCAGGCATGGGCATCCATAGGGAAGTCCTCCAAGTGCATTGGGCATTCAGCTCTCACTGTCAGTCTTATTAATTAAGGGAAATATAGAATACAAACAAAAAGTAGAAATTAGACACTGATCATCAGGGTGGGATGCTATTAAATACAGCAAATATATTAATAAGGCAGGAGGGGTATAAGTTGCAGAGCCATGCTAAGTTGTTTATAATCAAGTGATGCAAGAGAATTATTTACAATGATAGAATTCTATCCATTTTGTGTGTTTGCTTTGAGAAAATAGGCAGCATTTTGTTTTGTCCAGTGGACAAATATTGCTAACATCTTCCAAAACAAACACCATCCACTATTTACCTCCTCACAGAAAACTTTTTGATGATTAAACTAGATTTAAGCAAGTAAATACTTCATGACGAGGGCAGGAATATGCTGACCGCCCAGATGTGGTCATGACACCATGTACACAAGCACTGAATCATCATACGAAATACCCTACATATGCAAAATAATCATGGGTCAAGGGAAAGAAAAAGGAACCAAGATGTGGTGTGTATATGTATCAATTCCCCCACAATAAATACATTTGCTATGAATCAGATATATGTATTAGTAACAAATGGAAAAAATGCAGAAAAAATACATGTATAAACACAATTTCATCTTTGTATTCAAAAGAAGTAAAGAAACTGTAGTGAGAGCAGTTCTGGCTCCTTCCCTAAACTAGCACCAAAGGCATAAAATGAAAAGTCGAAGAAGGAGGGTCCTCAAGCTTAATTAGACTTAGGCTAACAAAGTCTCCTTGAGAATTAGTATAGGATGTTATTATATTCCAACCATTTATTGCTGTTCACCAAGCCATGGCCCAGTTAAGCTAGGACTCTGTGGTGCTCCTCTTTCATGCCTAGGATATTCTGGGAATTTGAGTTCTGTTCATGTTTTTAAAAAAGAACTGTTAAGAAAGTAATCCACTGAAATATGTGTGCTCTCGGTTTGTGGAAGTGTGAGGAAATTTATATTCATTTCTTTTAAACAATATTTAGAAAGGTTCTTACTGCCCATGTTATTAAGTAGCTTAAAAACATGGTACAAGGGCTTTATTGCCAGTAAAATTAAGTGATTCTTATACCGTTTAAAAGAAACATAAAATCTATAGGTTAATGATTAAATCACATTCTTAAATCAAAGTCCTAAATAAAATAATAATACATCAACAAAAACGGTGAGAAATTTCAAAGATGGAAGATATAGGTTAATTATTAATGAAGAATTCTACTTGCATCAGAAAATTTCATTGGTAAACTATTCAGAATAAGCAAATCCCTTCACTAGAAAATCACCACTTGGGAGGAACAAACACTGGATTTAGGATAAAAGTAAAATATAAGACTTTTTTCTCTTTTCTAACCTGAGAAAAATATTTCAAATTTCAAATATATTTAGGTCATGCTTGAATTACCTGGTGAGGTCTCAATAAATGTATCTGATAATTCTCTTTTAGCTTAGATATTTTGTTTTCATATTCTTCAATTTTATTATACTTTGGACTAGTTGGGCCCAATCTCCAACGCAAATTTTGGATCGCTCTCTATCTCTCTTTATTTGGATGCTTGTGTTCAGAAAGATAGTCATGCTGGCAGCTTTTGTTCAAGCCAAAATACCACTCTATTTCCATACTAAATACAACCTACCAAATTGAGATTTTTGTCTTTATTACCTTTTCATACAAAGAGAGTAATTGGACAGTCTGAATTACGAAGTGTTGGCCAGAGTTACAAAAACAACACCCTAATAACAAGTCATCTGACAATGAAATATTGGTGCTTTCCAGAATGAAACTGGGATAATTCAAATTTTCTTATGAACTAAGAATATCTTTAAATAGCTCTTCTTGAAAATTTTTCACAATTCTTTTTTGCTGCCTGCTGCCCTCAATTAACCCAGTGTGGACTGAACACTTATTAGATGGTAGACAGTGCAGGTATCTTGAAAGGGAAGAAATGTTTATAAACGAAAAAGATACACATAGTTTTCAATGTAAGCAAAATTTAAAATATATGGCTAATAATACCATTACTGAATTCATGTACTTCTTTATATGCATATTTCCTCATGAGTCTGATTTCTTTCAAGAATTTTGTGGTCTCCCATATTTTGTGGTTTGTTTTACTTCAATTTTAGTAGAAATATTTGAGGTTATACAACTCCTGATAGCTTTTAGATACTTAACTTAGACTTTACTGGTTGATGGGAGTATATAAAGTTTATAGTGAGGAGAATAGGTTCCACATAATGAATTAGAGTGGGTTGGAAAGATATATTTTTCTATATTGTATTTGTATTTGTTAATATATGTAAATGCCTTTTCATTTTTATAGTCATTTTATTGAACATTTTAATGCTTGCATAATATGACAGTGTGTTATGATTTTTATAGTAAAATAATTTCTTATGATTGAAAAACAGCACACTCAATGTCTTACCATGGCTCATCAGCTTGATGACTGCCTACATATGGAGGAGAAATAGCGGAAAAAGATGGATGGGCGGAAATGCAGCTGTGCTTACCTCATGGTGTACAGTAAGGTGCCGTCCTCTGTGATCCGGAGCAGCTTATTGGGCATTGTCATGTTATGAGCCACAGACTTCTTTCCATTGTGAAAAAACGTATCTGGAGTCCAGATTTTACTTGCCATTAGATTGTTTAACCGGAGAACTGTCATGGGTCCTTTAAATTTTAATCTTTCATCCTTCCAACTTTGACGGAAAAAGACATCTATTGTATACTCCTAGGTAATTTTGGAAAATGGTAAAGAGTTCACTGTGATTTATTTTGTAATTCAAATATCTCACAAGCAATGCATAATTTCTCTAACTTTGGAAGTAAAATGGGAGCTAAGTGTGCTTCCAGAAGTACGTTAATGTCAGGTGAATCACTGGTTTGTGTACTTGTTTTTTTAAATCTATAATGCCAACATATTTCTTGGGTAGAAAAGTGTTTTATCCTTAGATATGTGAAAGGAGATAACAGCATTATATTCCCCTAGGGAAACATTCGAACAAGTAGACTATGTTACAATTAAAAAAACAAAACCCATGCCTGAAGGTGTTATGCATAGGAATATTTTAAATCAGATGATCCCAGCCATGAAGATAAACACAGTGTTTTGGAGAATCTCCCAGGGTCTCTGAAAAACTCCCCGCACAACCAAGGCAAACACGGGTCTCTATAGTATGAAACTCCCATCGTTTAGACAAAGTAAACATTTTTTTCAAGATAAGGTATGTAGACTTCCAATTCTAAATAATGAAAATTATTAATTTGAGGAATCCATTTTCACTGCTAATTTGGATTCCCCCATCCCCAAAAAGAGAAAAAATGTACAGTATATGGGAACGTGTGAGTGTGCTTGTGATTGTATATGTATAGAAGTCATACGAGAAATGTGTGAAGTTCACGATTGTTGACAGCCAAGGAATCTATTTATTTGAATAAACAGATGATTCCTTATGGCAATACCCAGAGACAGACAGCTGCTAATCTGAAAACAAGCAATATGACTTACCAGCTCCTAAAACTGAAAAGGGTAATATTCATCTTCATTGCAGTGATTGCTACTTTGGCACTAAATTTGGAAATCAGTGGTTTGAAATAAAAATTACCACATGGTCCATTAGTCTTAGCATGCTTGAAACTCGAAGGACTAACTTGAAAACATCATGCTACATTTTCCTAATCCTCTTAAGTCCCGCTGCATCTGGAAACATCCTTTTTTAAATCTTTAGGACACATAAAATAAACAACGTCTGCTTTCAGGCATTTTACACACAGATTTAACTACCTGTCTCTTTCCTAGGATTTAAGCAAGACTGATAAAGAGTCAAGGAAGATTTACCTTTGTGTCATGTGTTTGACATTTTTGAGACTTTGTTGAGCAAGTCAAGCATAACATTAGCTGATGGTTTATAGTCTAATTACTGACTGAGAAACAAGAAAGTTTGACATGAAGCCATCCAGTTGATATAAGCAAGACAAGTTACCTTCCTTGTTGGTCAGTGTGTTTTTGTTTTTGGAAGTGTCACATGAAAGCCATTGTGAGATAGGATGGGAATTCACTTACCAGCAAACATTTGTTAAGTGTCTATTAAATACAGCAGTGAAAGAAACTATATAGCTTTAATATTGTCAGAAAAACTCATAGAGGAATAAGATGAGGGTAGAATGGTATTTTCCATGCAGAGAGAAATGGAGAAAGAGGCTGAATTATATCAGAAAGTCCCACAGTGTGCTAGGAATTGTCAGGGCAACAAGGTGAATGGATCTAAAATGCATTGTGCATGTTCTGCTCCCCTGGACAATAGGCTTATAAGCATTTGATATACGATAATATTTATATTACTTACACCCTAGCTGCATGCGTTCTATTTCCTATCCAACTGAACTTCCTTAGATCTGTTGACAGGGGATGGTCATTTGTGAAATCAAGATTCCACAAATGTCCAAGCTGTCTATATTCATATGAATCTAAAATTTTGGTTCCCTTGTTTGTTTGCTCCAAGAGATTTTTTTGAAAACCAAATAAATATTAAAAATTAATTTAAATAGATTTGTTATCAAATCTTTAATGAAATATATCCCAAGGGCCACGAATCTCCCCCCAAAAAATGTCTGTCAAACTTGCCAGAGTCGTACTATTTACATGCTTATCAGTTTTGCAGCTTGCCTTGTTTACCTGTGCTAGACAGACAATGAAATAGCCAGATGAGTTTCAGACATCCTGCCTGGATATTTCTGGCTGACTGACTCCAAATAACTTTCCACACCTTCCTTAGACCCAAGCTTCATAATCTATAAAGTGGGGATAACTTACTTGGCTAGTGTAGGAAGTGAGTTAATGACTACGAGTAACTGTAAGGATTTCTAGAATATAGGAAGTCTTAGCACATATCACAAATGATTGTTAGTTTCTTATCTCAGTGTTTTCCCAACACAAATTTTTATTAGATTTCTAGGTGGCTGGGATTGAAAAAGTGCTATTTCTTTGGAAGTCTGATAGAGCAGAAAACCTGAAGGGAGTGAGAAGGCAATCATGATCAAGGCAAGCAAAGGCAGAATAAAACAGAGGAAACTCTGTGGAAAAGGACGGAATAAATAAGATCCGCTGAATACCGTGTTCAAATTCCAGCCCCCACCACACAAGTGCTGTCTTTCTGAGTTCTATTCCACAGAGCAGGTCTCTGAAGAAAGTGAGCCGCTTTCAGAGGATCTGGGACAGAACATGCACCGTGTTCTTAAATAAATACTGTGTTAAAACGTTATCATTTGCAGCATTTGTTGCCATCTGTGTGTGCTTTCTCTTAACACATTTTAAGCACTGCGGAAAACAAGGCCATATGATTGTGCTGCCTGGATATTTCTGTCAGAACCTAGTGCCCTGGGAATGTGCCGTTTGATGGCCAATTAATGGTTTTTAAAATAAAGTTAAGGAGCTGCCCTAAATTTGTTTTCTATTCCAGATGAAGTCAAATGCCTTGGGAGTGGTGGAGCTTATAGGAATGAGTGGCCTAGGTTCTGCCACTACAGTTAGGTAGTGGGTCAGTTTCCCTCTCTGGAAAATGTAGATAAGAATAACACGTATCTACAAGGTTTGCAGTGAGAATTTAATGAAATGTCATTGATAAAGCTTCCCATGATACCCAACACAGGTAGGCATTAAATAATGCTATTTTTATTAGTTCTTGCTTTAAAAAGAACACAGTATTTCCCATTTTGAAAAAGACTTGTCATTCCTGCTTTCTAGGTGTGATTGCCTCTAACTAATATTTCTTCTTTTTAAGTCTAATTCCCCTATTATATTGTTTAAGAGATTAATCTTGTAAACAAAATGATTAGATACCATTTCTAAGAGCCACATTGCAAATCATTTGGAGCATGATGACTAATTTGATTCTTTGATAAAACAATCAAACTCTGCCTGATTCAGAAGTTTCAGGCAATAGAAAAAAATCCTTACTTAGATAGTCTGTTATTACCGTGTGATAGTTGATCAGAGTTTATATATAAAAATAATTCAGGATAAAGACAGAGTTAATGGTGTATCAAAACTTCCTGTTTTGTAAGATTTTACAAAAACTAATTGTTTCTTTAAATCTCAATTAATCTGAACCAATAACTTAAGTATTTTCTAAGGAAGAGAAAAGAGTTTGATCACATGTGGCTTTATTTAAGCACTGTCCCTTAGCAATAATTTTTGAACTTCTGTGAGCCACCATCCCAGGTGCCAGAGACAAAGATAGAATTGTTGCTTTAAAAAGAGTCAGTTCAGTCTTCTTGCCCCTTACTCTATTGTTTTGTTTCTCAAAATGTTCAGAATTTAGGAAGGAGCATTGAATTTAATGGGGCCACGAGATCTTAATTTTTTAATGATAATATATATGCTTAAAACTATCATTAAGTAAATAATAATTCAATACTTACTCTAAACCAGCAACAAACTAATACTGTGAGGTTTGTGAAACAAGTATGTCTTTAGAATTTTTGGCATTATTTTACTAAAATAAGACATTAATTTATAAAAGGGAAATAATTTTACAAAATGGTAGTATATAGGTGACCAAAAACTAAATTATATTTCATAATCAATAAATGTGGATAATACAAAAAGGAAAGTAAATTTAGTATTGTGCTAATAAAAAATAGTTTCATTAAGCATTTGAGTCTTGATTTGGGCCTCTGTGGAAATACAGGATTTAGATGATTGAAAAGAAAAATTTCTATGAGGTCTACACGGCCTCTTAAAGGACTTAGAATCAAAAATTACAATGATTATTATTTTCTGAGCACCATAGATATGCATTTTATTTATGTGCCACATTTAAAATTTATTAACAATGTAACAGGTACATGAAACTCTGATAATATAAAAAGTTGAGGGATTTTAAGCCTTAGAAGCTTAATCAATATGCCCAAATTCATGCTGCTGGTGGTAGTAAGGGTTGAAATTTGCTACTCTGAAACCTGCAGTCTTTCCTGCTACTCCTCAAGCTGCTTGCCTAGCAGAAAGTAGGACTCATGTGAATACCTAAAGCCAGGGGTTAGGACCGTGAGCAGGTGAGGAAGAAGGCCAAATCATTTATGGATTACAGAGAATACAGGCATAAAAATGTTAAATTTGATTTTAAACCTGAATAATTCTGAAGCTTTTATTCTACAGCATTCTGAGTTCCTTTGAAATCAAAGGACTTATACTTAAATGCTAGTAAAGCAGCATTTCCAAAGATAATATTCAATTAATACATCTTTAAATTATTCATAGTGGTATGTCTTCAAAACCTATTTGTGACTTTGCTTATATTGAAGCTGGGCTGCTATGAATTTAGAAAAATTATATAACCTTGGCAAAGCTTTACTGATTTACCAACTCCCACCAAATTAGATAGAAATTCATGCTAATTTATGTTGGGAAAATAAAGTAGAGTTATATCTTCATCTTATTAACATTTTTGGTAATAAGTGGATGAATATGTTTTGTAACAACCCACAACAGTTCCCTCTTGTGTACTTTCTTTTAACCACTTCTCTAATCCTGATCAAGAATCTGCTCAACTGTTACACTCATTTCTCCTTTACAGGCAAAAATAGAAATCACAGTGTTGATGGCTGTTGTGTAGCAGTGCTGGCTGTTTGAAAATCAGAGACAGAAAAAGATAGCCAAACTTTTTCAGATTATCCCCTAAATACTTAGTCTCTATTTCTTTCAAAAGTTAAATTTAAAAAGATATTCCCAGAATCCAAAGATGCAGCGTCACTTACCATATCATGGTCTGAAACAGGTCCGAAACTCGTGACGAAGATGTCAGTCTTCACTTCGGTTACACGCTCTGATGAAGCAGGAAATTGGGCCAGTGAGTATCTATCAACAGCCCTTATTAGATCTCACCACCACATACTTACACCCAAATGGGAAATTTATTGGCTTTGATTAGCTATTTCTAAAATTGGTCCACTGTGTAGCCCTGATAATTTACTGCTTACACATAGAATTTCACAGTTAATATTTTGAATGGGAACAGAACCTAAATATGCCACTTTGGGAGGCAGACTTTATGGAGAACTCAGCTGCTTCTTAATGAATTTTTCAAGGAAGGACACACTTGCCTAAATTATGCTTAACCACTTCAAATTATAATAAAAATATGTTAGCACAGGAGTATGCCTTAAACTTTATTTTTACACAGCTAAAGAGATGCTGCAGGTGTACAGGTTATTCTCGGGGTATATGTAGTATGCGTTAGCAAGCTTTCTTAACTCTTTAAGATCTCAAGGGTATGTTAAAATAATTGTTATCTTTCAGTAAATCACAACTGACTCACCTAAATTACTCCACTACTCCTTGGGAAAAATACGGCACTTTCTGTAAGTATTTTCAATTTCAAGAATGAGGTGACTATGTTATAGAATATAACATTATATGGCATATATAATATGGCATAGAAAATGTTCATTTAATACATTTTGCTTCACATTCAATGTGATTTTATTATATTGGCTACCAGATATATAAATAGATAGATAGATCCTTTGATTTTTTCTGTGCTAATGTGACACCGATATTTTTCAAGAAACATAGCCACTCACCAAGAAACAGAAAAATGCTACTTGTAGAAAAGAAAATAATTTGATGATGGGTGAGAATAGGAAGGATAGCTATGTAATTTTCACCTTAGTTCTGAAAAATCACAGTCTGGTATCTTAAGCAGTTCATTTCATTTGTTTGTCTCTGGTGAAGGACATAAAGATACGATCCTGTATACACAATAATACATTCCTTTGAAAATGAACTACTGACCGGTCTCCTTCAGCAGTTCTCTTTAGTTAAGACATTCTGTATGATGTACATTCGATATAAACTTCTTGCGGGATGAAGTCACATGATACACATATATGTATCTCAGTTGATAAAATAATTTGGAGTTACCACACCCTTCAGTAGCCATAGTGACACTATTTTGTTTCTGTGAAAAAATTTGATTGACTCCCAAGTGTTTAAATGAGCCTTTTGACATAAGAATTACTTGGATTTACCTGTGAAGTAATCGAAATGAAGACTGAGATTGTGATGAACAAAGTAGAATTGTGGTTTTAGAACTCACTTGCGACGTCAGTTTTCTCAGGCTACAGCAACTGTGCGTAGCTCGAGAGCACGGCCGTCCGCGTGAGTCTCCGCCATCTTGCCCAGTCTCCTTTATGCTACCCTTGTTCCTGTCCCTTCCAGCATTTCTTCAACATGTGCACCTATCCTTCTGTCACACAACTGTCCACATACTATTTCTACTAGAATCTTTTCTTACTTAGGACATCCTTTATTCTCTAAGATACCGTACAAAGCTTAGATTTTATTAGAATATCAGAGATGCTTTCCAATTAAAAACTATCACAAGAAAATATTTTGTCCCTTCTCTCTCAACATTTCCCTTTCCAGACCAAGCAAAGGAAGGATCATTTGAATTTTCTTTTTTATAATATGATACATATGTATTGCCATGAAAAACAACAAAAAGAAAGACAAAAACTCACAGAGATTTGGTATATTTTTGCTCTAAATTCTTTCACATCACCTATCCCTATCATTGGAAATAAATTTGCAATAAATTTCTTGTAATTTATAGAATAATTTCTTACAACTAAATGCTCCTGAAATCATATGACAAGGAGAAATGATACCTGAATTATTTTCCAACATATGTCTTGATTCACTCTGATATTCCTTTTGTATTTTTATTAAATTAGTTAACTCAACTTTCTTTTGTTTCCATTGCTCAAGTTTAGTTTTCTCCTTATTTTGAAGTAGAGGGTTTACACTGGATATCTTATAGAAATCAGTGACATGCACGGAAACAATTATATCAGTTTTTGTTTATTTTTTAAATTTTGGAGATGCATGTTCATTTAAAGAATACCTAAGGTTTCTTTCCCTTTCACAATATAAACTGTTCAAAAGGAAAGAACAACTTGGATGAGGGAAAAGAGAAAAGAAAAAAAGAAGGGAAAATACATATATATGTAACACAAGATAGCTAACATAGTTGTACTACTCGTTTCTATTGCATTATTGAAAGGAACAGTTAATGCTTAAGTGTGTGATCCATCTTACATGCCTGTATTTATCTGAGTAACCAATTTGAAGACATCAATATGTAATACAACAATCATTGTTAATTTCCTATCACCTTGTCTGAAATTCTGTATTGCTTGTATTGTTTTTGTGGTATTTTGTTAATGTCTGTGTATTTGTTAATATGTTTTCATTCTTTTATCTTTAAAATAAAAAAATAAATAACAGCTACAAATCCTGTCTGAACATTTGCATGCGGTTGGCAACCTGGAGCAATGCTCCAGGAGACCGTGTGGCACTACTATCAGTCTCCTCAATATGAGGAAAGCATAGTTTCTGCACTTTAAGAATGAATTCCAAGAAACAAGTTTTAAAACCTTGGCCCATTAGATGTTTTAGGAATAACCAGTTTGAATTATCCTACATGAGAAAGTGCCCAAAAGAACTGAGAGATCCATTTACTGAATATCTAGGATATTTTTCTTCCATTGTTTATAGAGTAACAGATGATTGTGCTACTTAAGCAACAAATTAAAAGGCTTAAAAGCATATTTATAAGATTATTGTACCAATTAAATAGAACATGAAGCATGGTTAGGTTTAGACACATTTATTGTCATGCGTAATTGTTACTGTGCCATATAAGGATTAGACATAAATGGAAAGCAATTTACATAAATGACTGGAACTGCATTTTAGTCTATTTTTTTCTTTTATCTATCCTTAGCCTAACCTTTTCTACCATCCTAGTTCATCATCTTCAAACACTGCATATACTTTTCTACTGGCTTCTTGCCTCTGAGATTTCCCAAAACTCACCACTGCAGTAGGAAAAGGCAAGAACCCTGTCCTCTATCTAACCCAGGACCAGGTAGTCTCTAAAGTGACCTTCTGACCACACACTCCAGTCATAGCGATATCCCGGAAGTCTTTCTGATTATCGTTCTCTATCTTCTCGGTCTCCTCCAAACATAAAAAAAAATTTCCAAGTCCCCAAACGGAGGGATGCCAGTGCAGGATAGCTGTGGCCAAGCAACTACGAAGTGGAAAGGGCAAGCGATGATACAAGAAGGGGAAGAAGTGGAGGTCAGTGTAATTCTCCCAGCCATCGCCATTCTGCAGACCTCCTCACTCTAGTACGCCTCTCCTTTGAGGGCCTCTACTCTGTATCTATGAGTATGTAGTTTTGAAATTCTGTCAATAAATACCTCTATCCTTCTTAAAAATACAGAGAAACCCAGAAGGTTTATAATGCCAAATGCAAAGATTCAAGAGCACTGTGAATAAATGTCAGCAAAATAGCAAAGAGTAGCATGGTTAACTCCCTTTCTTGGCCAAGAAATGGTGGCTTGAAATTAAGACTTCCTTAGGTTCTGACCAGGCTTAAGGGGAAAATGTTCTTATACTCTTGTTTTTTGGCAAAGACTTAAGACAATTGCTGAGGATCCCTTCTTTCCCCAAGTGCTGAGAGGATGCAGTCCTTCCAGTTCCCTCACCTCAAGGAGACACCCACACAAAACCTCACTCCCTCCCTCCCTCCCTCTCTCTCTCTCATTAGAAATACCTGAAAGACATTTAAAGACTTTCTGTTGAGCACATGATGAAGAGTCAACATATTTTATGATTCCATGTATTCTCCTTAGGAGTATACAATGAGTCAGGAATTTGTGATAAAATTTAAGGACTGTAGACCAAGATAATACTGAGTATGACTGTCAAAAGGGTTGTAGACCAAGGTAATACTGAATATGACTGAACCATCTATGAAACTAGGAAATTGCCTGAACAAAGAAATTATTTAAAAATCACTTGACTCAGATATTTTTTGGTGGGTACTAGGAATTGAACTCAGGACCTCACACTTGCCAGGCAAGTGCTGTGCCACCGATCTATATCCCCAGACCATGACTTGGATGTATTTGAAGAGCTAATTATTCAAATAATTTTTCAATCTATTTCCTTTGCAATACTTTTCCATATCCAATATAAACTTGATAGATTCTTTAAACATAGCTATCCACACATGTTCCTTTTCATTTTTTTCATATGTTCATTTTCAAGGCAAAAATAATTGAATAGTTATATAAAATGGATAATAATGATGATTGTTACTACAATTGTTGAGGTTACCCTAAAATAAAATTCAGTGCAAAATATTTGATAATAAGTAAATCAAACTCATTTCTTAAACACATCCTCAGACACTATATGTTGTGTATATATACATACACACAACTATATGTAGAAACATGTTCAAATAGCATAGCCCCTGCTCTTGGTAGACAGCACATCTTTTGTACTGGGAACTTACTACAGTGCTGATAGCTTGCTGATAAGCCCTGAAATAACAGATGTTTTGACATGATAATTCAAAAAGATGATTAGTACTGAAGATAAAAATGAGATAAGCAGCAGAGTAAACTAGTAAGCACATTAGATTAAGTGTCTAAGTGCTCATATTTTAACTCTGATTTTTCTTAAGCACAAGCTGCATGATGTTTAGATACAATCCTTTAATCTCTCTGCATCTATTTTCTCACTTCTTAAATGCAGAAATAATATATGCCCAATGAATTATATAACGTTGGAGGGTTAAATATGATGGTAATGCCAAACACTCTTTGAGAGGCATTTGTTGGGTGCATTAATTTAGTCAATAAAAAAAAAAAAGTCTCTGTGTCAGATAGACATGAGTCCAGATAATAGTAATATAATGAAGTATAAAAGTGAAAAACACCTACTCCATAGCACACCTCTCTGATTTTG